ACACACACCTCTTGCTCAGTTGGGTGTGCCACTCTGGGAGGCCAAGAAAGGAAGACTGCAAGTTTAACCCCAGGCTGGGCAATTTAGCTAGTGAGACATGGTCTCAAAAACAAAGGGCTGGGGATATATGCCTTCAAAGGTTGTGGGTTCAGGTCCCAGGACTGAAAAAAAAAAGCTCTTGGCCAAAACATGCTGTAAATTTTCCCTAGGTGCGATATTTTTTTTAGATCTATACATATTTGATAATTTTCTATAGTGAAAAATGTAATTCTAATAAATCTTAACATTTTACAATTTCATTTTTGGTTAGAAAGTATTAGATATGGTAACTTCCTCTTCAAATGGTCGATACATATAATTTCTATGTTCATCTAGACAGTTTAATTAAAAATTAATATATCTGGGCCGGGGATTTAGCTCAGTGGTTTCGCGGCCTGCTGCATAAGCACAAGGACCCGAGTTCAATCCCTGGCACCAAAAAAAAAAGATTTAAAAAATTAATATATCTGAATTTTGTTTAGTGTTTATGCTGCGCAGCGAAGTCTGAACACGCAGCCATTAACAGGAGAAACAAGACTCCATGCAAAGTACAGCACGTAGAAATTCGAGAAAGCAGCAAGCTGTCAGGATACAGGTTGCATCTGGTGGGCTACCAGACATGCAAGATACAAGAGTTTCCTAGAAGACCATAGCAGAAAAATAACAACAATTACCGCAAATTTGGTATTGGCCTAGTTTCTTGACAACATTATGTATTCTACAGAAAGTTAGACAATAGCAAAATAAATCAATTAACATGAATGGTTCCTGTCACTAAAGTATCAGTCATAATTTGTAACAGCTAAATCTTGGAAGCAACCTATATGTCCATGAACAGATGAATGAATAAAGAAAATGTGGCATTTGCACACCATGGAGCACTACTCTAACACAAAGAAGGGTGAACCTGAAGCATCTGTAGGCAAATGGATGTACCTTGAGACCAGAATGTTAAGTGAAACATGCTTAAATATCGCATGGTTTCTCTTGAGAAACCTAAAATATAAATAAAGGGCAAATAAAAGATAAATAATAGGAAGTAGGGAGACAGATTTTTCTTAAATAGGAAGGGAATCAAGAGATGGGCTGGGAGCTGGGGATTTAGCTCAGCAGTGCTGCACCTGCCTGGCAAGTGCAAGGTCTTGAGTTTGATTCCCAGTACCAAAAAAGGGGTGGGGGGCGGTTAAAAAAGAATTAAGATATGTCATGTACGTGTACCAACTCCCCACAATGAATGTGATCACTGAGTACCACAAGCATGTACTAATAAAAAATAAAGAAATGAATGAGGAAAATAAAAGTGACTTTGAGCTTTTGTAATAAAACACAGTAAGATGATATTGAACTAGGAATCATTCAAAGTATGTACAGCTGTACGAGACAGAGGAAGAACTTGGGATCTTAAACTATACAGATGTTTGTGTCCTTTCTGGTCCTAAGGATCAAATCCCAGGCCTCTGGCATACTAGGCAAGCACTCTACCACTGAGCTATGCCCTCAGCCCATACAGAGATTTCAGGAACATAGAATAGCGTTTACAGATAGAGCTTTCATAGTATCAATTACTTATGAGTTGAAGTTCTGTGACATGCAACAGTAATTTGGTATTTGGGGTACAAGACTGGACCTCAGGTGAACTGATGGGGTGACCCAGCCATCTGCTACCAAAAAGCCTCAGAGCTGGGCATGGCAGCACACACCTGTAATCCCAGCACTCTGGGAGGCTGAGGAAGGAGGATTGCAAGTTTGAGCTCAGCCTGGACAACTTAACAAGACCCTTCTCAAAGTAAAAAATAATAAACATCCTGGGGATGTAGCACAGTGCAAAGGCCCTGGTTCCATCCCTAGTACCAAAAAGAAAAAAAAAAGAAGAGCTTCAACAATTAACCTAAAATTCTCAGAGGACTCTAATTTTTTTTTCTTTCCTTTTCTTCTCATTTTCTGAAAAATACATTAATTCCTAGCCTAGCTGTCATTATTGAGGACACTGAATTCAGAAAACACTCTCCACATTCGTTTTTTCCTTTCCTAAAATTCAGAAAGTTCTTCCTTTTCACAGACATTTAAGAGTTTCAAAAACTAACAGCAGTTAATTACTGAAATGCAAATATGCTTATAACTACTTCTAAAAATCCAAAACTGAATACACAAAAAGAAATGTAATCACCACATTTTAATTGTGGGCTTTAAAAACCTGGATCTTTATATGGACTATACTGAGTACTGCACTTTTGTAAATAAGCCAAACCTCACAAAATGTTCCTCAGATTAACTAAATAAATAATTTTAGAATTTTTAAAAAACAAAATGTCTTGGGGCTGGGGATTTAGCTCAGTGGTTTAGCCAACTGCTGCGCAAGCACAAGGACCCAAGCTGGATCCCCGGTGCCAAAAAAAAAAAAAGTCTTTACTGTCTGACTTTATAATCTCCATGCCAGGTTTCCTGGAAGGACGCAGAAAATACCTACCCGAAGAAGTGGGCCATACTGCACGCAGGCAGGCGGGGCAGAGGGCGTGACTGAGCCCGAGAGGACCAGCCACTGTCCCTGCACGGAGGCGGCCTGTCCACCTCGCGATGCTGACCCTCCTTTCCACCCCAGCCCACAGCAGCGTCCCAGGTGTGGTCACAGCTCCACTGCCCCCGTACCTGTGGTGCCCCCGACGGGCCGAGGCCGGGCCACCGACGGCATCTCTTCGGAGTAGACCCCTCGGGCGGCGAAGGGGGCTTCTGCGGCTGCCTGTGGCTGCGGGGGCTCGGGGGGCGGCAGCTCGGAGGACGGCAGCAACCCAGGGCCAAAACCCGGCCTGAAGGCAAAGCACAGCGGGCATCAGGGCTCTGGGGTCCAACTGGGTTCACCCTCGCCCCTCAGAATGAAGACCACCGTCTCTGCTTAGCCAGCTTCTCTCCTGCTCCTGATCAAAGCCAAAGACAGGGAGCCTAACAAACTGCGCTCGTTAATTGAACCTACCTCTTCCTTTAAAGACAAATGTAAGGGCCGGGGATTTAGCTCAGCAGCATGGCACCTGCCGGGCAAGCACGAGGTCCTGAGTTCAGTCTCCGGTACCAAACAAACAAAAAACAGAAGTAAAATGGAATGCCGAAGGAAGGCACAGTTGAGTTCCAGGATCCGTTAACCACCAGGACTGCCCCAACTCTGAGGTTCTCAGTCCCGGCTGCACATTAACATCACCTGGGGGATTTAAAAAATACCGACGCCCACTCAGCACCCCAAAGACAAATAGAACCTCCAGTGCAACCCAGACTTTTTTGAAACTCTGTCCGATGGTCTGGCTGCCCATCAAAGCTGAAAACCAGGGTTCTAAAACAGTGTTTTCAAAATTTTTGATCTCCGAACCCTATAACATTCATAAAAATTATCGAGGAGCTGATCACAGTGCACACACCTGCAATCCCAGCTACTTAGGGGGCTGAGGCAGGAGGATTGCAAGTTCCAGCCCAGCCTTGACAACTTAAGAAGGCCCCGGTCTCAAAATAAAAAATAAAAAGGTCTGAGGATTTAGCTCAGGGGTAGAGGCCCTGGGTTCAATCTCTAGTACAAAAAAAAAAAAAAAAAAATTGAGGACTCCCAAGAGCATCTGTTTATGTGTATTGTATCTATCAATATTTACTATATTAGACTGGGCGTGATGGCACATGCCTGTAATTGCAGCACTTGGGAGACTGAGGCAGGAGGATAGGTGCAAGTTCAAGGCCAGCCTGGGCTACAGAGTGTGTTCAAGGCCAGCCTGAACTATGTGGTAAGACCCTGTCTCACAAATCAAAGACAAAAATAGGGCTGGGGATTTAGCTCAGTGGTGCCACCATCTGCCTTGCAAGCACAAGGTCCTGAGTTTGATCCCCAGTACCCCCCCCAAAATTACAGTATTAGAAATTAAGCAAAATTTTAAATCTTATTTTAAAAATTAATTTAAAAATACGGGCCAGGCATGGTGGCACAAAGCTATAATCCCAGTACTCAGGAGGCTGGGGCAGGAGGATCACTGGGAGTTTGAGGCCAGCCTAGATTACATAGTGATTTCAAGGCCAGCCTGAACTACACAGGAGACCCTGTTTCAAAAAACCAAACAATCAGGGCCGGGGATTTAGCTCAGTGGTGCCGGCGCCCTCCTTGCAAGCGCAAGGTCCTGAGTTCAATCCCCAGTACCAAAAAAAAATAAATAAATAACCAAACAACAACAACAAACATGTTACATATTAATGTTAACAATTTTCATGAATTTAATTCTTCAACTCCTCTCCCCCAAAATTAGTGAAAAAATGATCCTTATATATTTCACATTCAGTCAACTTGCATTTGTTATTTTAGGAAGAAAATCTACTCTCACAGAATATGTTCTCAGAAAAGGAATATATTAACAGCCTTTTAATATAATATTAAAAAATATTTTTGTTTTTTTATACCACATCAAAACACAATGTTGAATCTAAGAAACAACATCAAGAACTTTTCATACTCTGCTACATTAAACCCACTCCTTTGTCTTGCATTTTAAATGGGATCTTTAACCCACGCATGATTTTATGGCATTTGTCAATTGGAAAATGCCAGTTCACTGAGTTGTGAAGACTTTACTGGGTATTGATACATTCCATTTCACAGTATCAAGAAATCCCATTCATTGTTGTCCCCACCTGATGTCACCTCCTGCTCACCCAGTCAAGTGTTTAAGTACTAACATGCTGCCAAGTTCATGGGGCAGATAAAAATTTCCTGAATTGATTTTTTTCCCTTGAAAGCTCAATTTTACCACGGCAACAAATACCAACTGTTGTTTTCCTTGAAGTAACAGGCTCACTTCGGTCACTTGCAAGCCAGTATCTGCCAAACTCTCAAGTCTGTACAGCAATTTTGCAAAGTGTTTGTTCAAGTAAAAATCAAGGAAGCAATTGGTTTGGTTATCTTAAGCAAGTAAGGGCTTTCCTCCAAGAATCCATACTCAGCAGAAGTGCCTTATTCAGATGGTGCTTCCTCTTTTATCACATAAAGACCTAGGACGAATAAAACCAATATTTATTTATTTATTGCAATGCAGGGAAATCAAACCCAGGGCCTTCACACTCAGCTATGTACCTAGCCCTTTTTCCTTTTTTTAATTTTGTATTTTGAGACAGGGTCTCACTAAGCCACTAAGTTGCCCAGGCTGGGTTCAACTTGGAATCTTCCAGCTTCAGCCTCCCAGAGTGCTGGGATCATAGGCATTCGTCACTATGCCCAGCTAAATTTAATAATTTTTAAGGACATATTTATGGGAGACCAGATGGGAATAATGAGGTCTAACTGGCCTCCTCAGTGAGCACTGAGGAGGAAGAGGGCATGCAAGTGTGCTAACACACTGCAGGGAAAAGTAAAACACCTAGTTTAAGTTGTTTACCAAGAGAAGTAACATGGAGGGTGGGAGACAGATGAATCTTGCAGAGCTCTAATTGCTTGTGCCCGTGTCTGAGTGAATAAAGCTGAGGTGCACCAGTCATTTGGGGCTCTATGATGAAGGGAGACATGAGCCCTCTGGGTCCCCCTGCCCCAGATTTTAACCTGAATCTGTCTCTTTATTTTTCATCCTTGTCATCCCTTGGTCAGATTCAAGCTTGTAGGCTGGTTTCTACACATATTAACCTAACTCTGGTTATTTAAAAACTGCATTTGAGCTCAGTGGTTCCGCTGCCTGCCTCGAAAGTGAAAGGTCCAGAGTTCGATCCCCGGTACCAAAAAAAACAAAAACAAACAAACACTGCATTTGTACAGTGGTGAAGTATCCCACCACCACTCATTCGATGTGGCAGCACCATCTGGATTCCTGCAGAGGCACCAGGCTTTGACCCATCTTAGTGCAAACATCTACACTGATATAAAAGGCAAGTAAGGTCTTACCATTACTTCGAAAACAGTTTTGACCTCACAGGGCCCCTGACAGGATCTCACAGGCCCTCTAAGGGTCTGAGAACACTGCCCTCAGAATCACTCCTAAGAAGAAACTCAAGAATAAAAGATTATGTTCTATTACAGTTCTTTGCAATTAACAGATACAACCAGCTGGATAAAGATGTGGATGGATGAGCCTTCCTATACCAGAGCATTTCTCATAACGCAAAACCTAGATGATCTGATTATTCTCTAAATAAGTGCTGCTGATCAAGATGGACCCCAGAGGGGTTTCCCATCCCCAGCTGCAGATCTAGGAGCTCCTTCTTCAACCCAACCACAATCTCTAGCCCTCTCCTGCCCACACTCACATCTCTTTTATCTTCCCTGTGTGCTCCGAGTTCAGTGCAATACAAACACTCTAGAATTTTTGATGTGGGTGATCATAAAATTTATCATCCAAATCAGAACATTTCTGAAAGCAACCATTATTAATACCTAGGAGTAACTGGACTAACTAGATCATATGGTGCTTCTATGTTTTTGTTTGTTTTGCCTTTAGATGGGGGTCTCACTATGTTACCCTGGTCAGCTTGAACTCCTGGGTTCAGGAGATCCTCCTGCCTCAGTCTCCTGAGTCGCTGGGAGTGCGAATGTGTTCCTCCATGCCCAGCCTGTGTCTTTATCTGTAACTTCTGCCCTTATCGCCTAAGCTCACCTGGACACTTTTGCTTTTGTTCCTTTTGGGGCAAAGATTATGCCTGAGTAGGGGAGGAAGCAAACCCTTTTGAAATTGAGGGAAAATAAAGAAAACTACAGAAAAAGGAAGGAGAAAGCAGGCAACAATCCACTTTCGAGTGCCTTCTGGTTGGTGAAGGGCTAGTTGAGTTTGATTTCTAAGATTCATTCTTTTTCTGAAAATCCATCTTTATAATGAACCAATCATCCACTGGGTGGGTCCATCTATACTGTCTCTATTCTGTTTCAGTGGTCTGTCGACACCACATTGTCTTAACACTCTAATTTATAACATTGAGAATAGTCCAATACTGTATTCTCCTTTCTCAAAGCCTTTCTCTTGGCTATTCTCAGTCTTTTATTCCATATACATTTTAGAATCACATTGTCAGTTTCTTCAAACCATGGGGATTCTGAATGGGCTTATTTTGGGGAACCAGGTGTGGTGGCGCATGCCTGTAATCCCAGCACTCAGGAGGCTGAGGTAGGAGGATCACCGAAAGTTTGAGGCCAGCCTGGGCTACACAGTGAGCTCAAGGCCAGCCTGGACTATATAGTGAGAAGTTGTCTCAAAAAATAATCAAACAAACAAGAAAAGATCACTTTGTGAAACTGACATAAAAAATTACGAGTTCCCTATCTTTCTTTAAAGGCTTAAACATCTTCGGTTGGATTTATTTTGAGGTATTTTATATTTTTGAATCCTACTTTAAATGGTATTTTTTACTCTTAAATTTTATTTGTTGCTTATATGCAGAAATAAAAGTTTTGTAAACTGATCTTGTATCTATTTACCTTGCAATTTTGTCCTGCTAGCCATCTTAATAAATTCCCTTAATTCTATTTTCTATTTTGCTAGTTTATACTGTTTTTATTTTGCTAGTTTATACTGTTATTTTTATTAATTTTCTTCTGCTTCACTTAATTATTCTCTTTTTAACATCTTGAGATGAATGGTTACATTGTTGATTTTTAGCCATTTTTTTTTCCAAATAGATGCATTTAAGGCAACAAGTTCCTCCATACCCCCTAGAACACTGCTATAGCTGCACAACTATTGCTATTTCCCACAACATTCGATGTTTCATTTTATTATTCATTTTAGAATGTGTTACAACCTCCATTGTGATTTTTTTCAGTGTACTATAGGTTATTTAGCACAGTGCTGATATATTTGCAAAAGTACAGGGATTTTCTAAATATGCTTTATTCTTGGTTTCTAATTTAATTTCACTAGAATGAGAAAATGCACTGAATAATTTTACTTCTTTGAAATTTGTTTAGATTTTTTAAATAGTGTAAACATATAGAAAATGTTTGATTTTATTCATTCCTTCATTTATTCATTTGTTCATTCATTCATTTATTGCCATATGTTGAGGATTGGGCCCTGGTGCATGTTAGGAAAGAGCTCCACCTGAACCTTTTGCCTTAAAATTTTGTTTTATTTTACTCATTCATTTTTCTTTTTGTTTTGCTTTATCCACATGAAAGTTGTTTTGTATCATAAGAACTGTATCTTCATTTAAATGTTTGTGTATAACATTCTTTGTGCACATGATCACTAAAAACAGTGATGTGTATTCAGGACTACTTGTCAATAAATGCTATTCACTAAACATGTTACATGCTTTAAAATCTGACTTATGGCTTCAAAATCAGTAACTTTTTTAAAGCTATTGGCTCAGTACTTACTAAGGCACCATTCTGGAGAAAAGGAAACTCTGAAGGATTAAGGTTAAATTTTCCCTTTTCATTCTTACATTATTGAAATTATTTTAAAAGCAGGTATATTTTGCTGTTATGGACTCTCAATTAGATCAAGCTGATTATTCATACATTCAAATCTTCCATATCCTGCCTATGTTTTTATGTTTTTGGCAAGTCTCTAATAAGCCAAATACCATTCTTTAATCCAGTCAATGTCTGTCTTTTAATTGAAACAGTTACTATCACTCAGTGTAACTGTTTAGCATCTCATTGTACCCTTCTGTATGTTCCACCCATGCTGTGGTCCTTTTTCTCCCATTTCATGCCTCCTTTTAGATTATTTTAAAATTATTTTATTTCTCCTTATCTTATATTAAGCCCTTTTCAGCATTATTTTAGAGAATTATCCTAAAAATTATACCAGAATCCCTGACATAAAACAGTCAAGTGATACCCGCCTGTGATCCCATTACTCTGGAGGCTGAGGCAGAAAGAGGCAAGTTTAAACTCTGCCAGGGTAACATGGTGAAAAATGAAAAAGGGATGAGAATGTAGCTCAGAGTGAAGGCCCTGGGTTTAGTCCCCATACCACAAAATAAAACCAGTCTAGGGGCCAGGATTTAGCTCAGTAGTTCTGTCGCCTGCCTTGCAAGCACAAGGACCCAAGTTCGATCCCCCACACCAAAAAAATAAAAAACAAAACCAGTCTAGCATAAATTAGTACCTTTATATCTTCCCAGACAATAAACCTTATCTCCATATTTAGCATAGTAAATGTAATTACTGGAAAATCTAGATTTGACAGCTCCACTATCTGGATTCTCTATGGTTCCATTTCCTCTGTTTCTTCTGTTCAAAATCTGTACTCTTTTCCGATGCCCGGCTGTGACGTGTAAGCTTGTATGACGTCACTGCAGCAATGACGCAGGGTCCAGCGGGGGCCCCTCCTTTCCGAGGGAATTCACACTGGTGTCAGCCAGGCAGCCGTTCCTCATCGCTGCTCCAGGCTGAGCTTCAGTCCCTGAAGGAAGTCACTGATCTCTTGAGAATCACTGTCCTCCCCAGGCACAAGGGTCCCGCTCGGAAGGGCTCCTGGATCTTGGCCTCCTGCTGCTAGCCCTACTAGGCCTTAGGGTTGAACATTTTTAGTATCTTGCCTGGTTTTTGCTGGTGTCCTCAGCAGGACAGTTGGCCTGATTTCTCCAGTCTGTCCTTACCAGAGAAGAGCTGAAATACCAACTGTTTCCCCTGCCCTTTCAGTTACATGGAGAGAGCACATGTCTCAGAGTTCTGCATATGCTTACAATGGTTAGAGACACACGTTTACAAAACTAAAAAGACAGCAGCCCGTGTGAGAGAGTCACAATATATTTTGCTCAGAAAACTTTACCTTGGCAATGGGCCAGATGGGGGAGTCATTCCGTAGTCTTCATATCTCTGGAAGAAATTCAAAATAACATGAAGATTAATATTCAGTACTTATTACAAAGTGACAACAGCAAATGTGTAAACTTTCAGGCTTGTAGGATCGACTTTCAGGACAATTATTTTCTCATTAAAACTTAGCATGTTACTGGGGCATTCTGCCATCAAGTAATGCTCTGAGTTTCAGTTGGTGAATTGGGCTACCAGGCTTTAGAAAACACAAAACCAAAGCTAGGTGTGGTGGCATCTGTAGTGCTAGCATTTAGGAGGCTGAGGCAGGAGAATCTCTTGAATCCATGCATTTTAGACCACTTCCGGCAATACAACAAGACACCATGGCTTAATCCCCAGCCCCACAAAAACAAAACAAAAAACTATACAACTACTTTGTAGCTCTTTCCTCCTTTTGTATAATATAACTAAAAATGTTAATAATAAGACAGGTTTTCTGCACCTGTTCAGCCCTCTGGGCTCCACTGCTACAAACCATCTCTTCTGCTGAGAAGTGGTATAAATGGCCACATGTAGCACAAGGGACTCCCTCACCACAGTCAACAGATCCAGCGGGTATCCAGCAGCAACTCAAACACCCCCAGAAACTAACCCATCAAAAGCTGTACCATAGCCAGGTGTGGTAGTGATTCCTATAATCCCAGCACTCTGGAGGCTGAGGCAGGAGGCTCTCAACTTCAGGCCCAGCCTGGACTACACAGCAAAACCTTCTCAAAAAAACCCAAATAACAAAAAAGTGATACCATGTTAAGAATGCTGTAAAAACAGAAAGGATGCAAAGAAACCAGTTTTTGTCAGTTTCTGACCATCTTCTGATTCCAAGGAGAGCTCTACTTCCTGCCTGTCACTTTGGTAAGGCGGCCCCAGTTCCCTCATGCAGCTTGTTTTACTTGAGTTAATCTCAACTAACCAACTACTCTTGGACTAAAACACTCCTCCCTTGAAGAAAATACACATCACGAACATTGACTGTGCTCCTTGTGAAATTACCACCTCCTAGCCCTACCATACATGGGAGTCCATGGCTGTCAATCACCATTGTGGAACCGGATATCCAGCATGGCAGTGATCAGACAGAATCCACTCAACTGCAGCCGGTTCACACCAATCGCTCGCCCACAATCAGATGGCAATGAAAACCTCCTGGAGCTCCCAGCAGAGGGAAAAGAAGCTATAAGGGATGCGGGAGAAGAGGGAGGAAAAGCAGCTTCAATTCCTTTCCAAAAGACAAGAGCAAGGGCCGGGGATTTAGCTCAGTGGTGCCACACCTGCCTCGCAAGTGCAAGGTCCTGAGTTCGATGCCCATGTACAAAAAAAAAAAAATTCCCAACAGGGGAAACCTAGGACTGAATACAGATTATTCACAGTGCCCTGTGCTTTTTGGAATTTTAAAACAATTCTTAGGCATTTTTTTAAAAAATTCAAGGCTTATTACTTATCAAGATTTCTGGGGGTCTAAGTGATAGACTTACAGAAAAGAATAGAAAACAGCTGTCTGCTGTTTATATGTTGTACTAAAATTGGGTGAGATATTTCAACTTACTGTAGTCAGAAAAAAGATGTCCTGTTTCAAAAGATGGCTTGTTTTGTTTTGTTTTGGAATCATTGGTGGAGTTTCTATGACCTGGTTGCAGGAATTTACTTTGGTAGATCACACCTACGTGAGTGCTTGGGGAACAAAATTGAATCTTAAAGTTTCAATCATCGATGTCAACAAAACTCATTTTAACATATCCCTTCCTTCTTACACCATAGAAAGCACAGGCCAGTAGAGCATGAAAGGTGAGTCAAATGGTTGTAGGGTCTCGGATTGGCTTGAGGTATAGCAAGACAGGAAGGTCTGCTTATAAAAGGTCTCAGCTCAGGTGTCGTGACCCAATCACTCGAGAGGGGATTAGGCTTTACTGGGGCAAGCAGAACATCAGCAGGCTGCGGGACTCCCTGATGTCTAATCAACACCTCTCTGTTGGCAAACAGGGCCAACTGTCATCAGCTGGGACAGAAAGACCCATGTGGTAACAGAAGACACCTTGAAATCCACATTCCTGTGGGTTTTTTCTGCAGTCAGAACAAGCAAATAAAGGGTGATTAGGTTCCTCCCAGCAACAAACAGTAACTCTAGCCCCAGTCTAGCAACAAGCTGAAAGACACAGGCACAGACATTAGACACCCACAGACATGGCCCATGGGTCTGGTTTCCCACTAGGTCAAACTGCTACCATTCTCACCAAACTACATCAGGGGAACATCAAAAGTCCCCAGCGAGGAAACCACAGAATAACAATGTTTATTACAAAATCTTACTATGAATTTGAATTCATGGTTAACATAGAGGATTAAGGCATGATTGTGGGACTCTGATCCCCAACACCCAAGAAAAAGGAAAAACATAATAAAAATAAGAACACAAATTTGTCAGTAATTACTGCTAAAAAGTCATCAGCAGAAACTAAACAAGGGAGCGTACTTATGTTAGAAATGGAGAAAAGTGGGGGCCAAGGGAAAAATGGGACACTGGCAGCACAGTGGGACTCCTGCTCCTGTCCCCTTGAGAGAAGCAGGCTGTGGGGCAGTGGGGATGGCAGAGTGGGGCCAAGGAGAGAAGCGGGGGGCCAAAAGCACCAGCCACAGGCCAGCAGGACCATGCTCAGGCCTGAAGACCCTCTGGGAAACCCAGGACTAAGTGAGAGGCCCTGGGCAGGTCCTCCTTCATTCCCAGTCCTCCTATCACCCTTCCCACATGCCCAAGAGCTCAGGCCCTCAGCACCCAGCCAACTCCATACCCACCAACTCTGCGTCCCCCGCCAGCCAAGTGCAGAGCTCCAGCTCTGCCCTCCATCCAGCCCAGAGTCCTGGAGGCCCTTGAGAAGCTACGGCAAAGCTCCTGGGGAGTGTGACGCCTTGGGAAGTCAAGAGGACGCCCCACAGGCAGCAGGGTTTGCAGAGACCCCCACTCTCTTTCCCCTCCCTGTCAGTGTGTGGCCTGTCATCGTGGCGGCCACACCTCTCATCCACACATCTCCTTCCCGCCCCCCAGTGCCCTACTGCCCAACTTCTCACTGTCTACGCTGGGGTGTCTGGATGCTGGGCAAAAATACTAGAGAATTTTAACTTCACCCACTGAAATTTCATGATGGTCAATTCAACCGGGAACTCCACACTAAGAAATGATTCCTGTGCCCCTGATCTGGGAAGACAGAAGCCAAGATCTGGCTGCACAACCACAGCTTGATTTCAGCTGTATTCAAACTTCCCTTCCTCTCCCCATTGGGCTGGAAGAAATATATCCCTCACTTCCAAAGACAATTCTTCCACTGGCACTGGAGGCCATGGCGCCTTTTCCTGTGTCATCAGTCCTCCATACTGACTCAGTGCCACCAGCGATGCCACAGGGGAAGCCTCACCAACTCACTCAACTCTCTCAACTCATGTAAAGTCCACCCACACTGTCACACTAATGGAGCCACCAACTCTCACCCGCACCATCACACCAGCTTCCTGACTCCTGCCTCTGGTCTTGCACTCTGCCACCATCCTCTATCTAAAATGAGACTGATCTCTCACCAAGGCCCTACAGTGTCCAGGTGTCACCCTCGGGATGAGGGGTAGGCTCTAGGGCTTCCTGCTTGTCCTGTCCTGCCACCATGTCTCACCATGTACTGGTCATCTGGAACTGATTCCATGGCAGAGAAATCACCATAGTGATTAAGATCATGTATCCACTTGACCGGGCCACAGCATGGCTGGACAGCTGGCTACACGCTGTATCTGTGCATGTCTGGGTGGTGTTTCCAGAAGAGGTCAGCATTTGGATTGGTGGACTGAGTAAAGCAACTGGCACTCCCAGCATGGGCAGGCATCACTCAACCCATCGAGGGCCCAAATAGAATCAAAAGACCAAGAAAGGGTGGATTCATGCTCCATTTGACCTGGACTGGGACATCACATTTCTCCTGCCCTTGGAGATTCTGGCCTCAGGCTTTCAGATTTAGGCAGGAATCTGGCTCTCGGGCCTTAGGATGGCACCACCAGCCCTCCTGGCTTCCCAGTTGCAGAGATCTGGGCCTTCTCAGCCTCCACAGTCGTGTGAGCCAGTTCCTCATAACCAGTCTCTTTCTCTAGCTCACAAGTTCTCTCTCCCCCTTCCTCTTTCTCCACATACTTGCTATTGGTTCTATTTCTCTGGAGAACCCTGGACATATGAGGCACCTTTCTGGGAGGAAGTTTTTAACAGCTTTATTGAGTTATAACTGACATACAATAAACTGCACGCATTTAAAGAATACAAGCTATTCAGTTTCAACATGCCTATACCAGTGGTGGTGAATTTGTGGCACGCATGCTGCAGCGGGCTGTTTGTTATCACTGAAAGCTCTAAAAGGTTAGCCATCACTGGTCTATCCACGTGAACCATGACTACAATCAAGATAATGAACACATCCATCACCCCTGGAGCCTCCAGGTGCCCCTTCATAATCCCTCCATGCCATGCCTGTCTCTCACCCCTGCTCCAACCCTGGGCAACACTGATCTGCTGTCTATCACTGTAGATTTTTCATTTTCTACAATTGTATATAAATAGAATCATATACCATACACTCTTTTCCTTTGGTCTGGCTTTTTCCGCTCAGCCTATTTTGAGGTCCAATCGTGTTTTGTGTATGTCAAGAACTTATTCATTTTTATTATTCAGTAATATTCTATTATATGGATACAACACGTGTCCATCCATCCATCAGCGTATGAGCATTTTGGTTGTGTCCACTGTCGGTCTATTACAAACAAAGTTGTTGTGATGTACAAATACGAAAAATGTTTCATTTCTTCTGGGTAAATACTTAGGAACTAAATGGCTAGTTCATATGTTTGGTGTATGTTTAACTTTTTGAGACTGCCAAACTGGTTTTCAAAGAGCCTTTGCTAGTTTACATTCCTGCCAGCAGTTCATGAGCATTTCAGTTCCTTAGATTGTTGTCAACATTTAACGTGGTCAGTCTTTT